CACATGTAAGATTCACTCGCCCTGGCTAGATGCATCTGGGACTGGAAGGCGTCGACGTGGTCGTTGGGGTTGAAGGACCCGTTGTACTTGTCCAACGGTGGGAGCTTGAAGTCCCTAGGCATGGGGACAACGAGGAGCTCCGGAGACAGAGGAGAGGGGACTGAGAGAAGTGGTGCAACTCTTACCTCTCCTGAAATTATTTCTATTTTTCCCTCGAGCTCGGGCAGATTGTGGGTGGTGGTAGTTTGGCGAGCCCGGCGACGTCTCTGCTGCTTCTTGGCCGGCTCGACGTTGGTGCTGCTGGCCTCAGTATTGCTAAGCTCGATGGGCCTAGGGGGAGGCAGGGATGGCTGTCGGTAGCTGCGGACAGAAGGACCTTGTTCCAGGTCGTCGGCTAGCACTTCGAACCTGTTCTCCGCAAGCAGGGGTTCGAACTGCGAATGCTGAGGTGACGCCGGCCTAACCGGCTGGGAAGCCCCCGACCTGACTACGGGCCGCGTGGCGGGGGTAGGGAGTCTTCCCTTCCTTCCATGAGATGATGCCGAAGTCTCTCCTCGACGGGAAGGGAGTTCACTGCGGCGATGAGGCTTAGTTGGCTGTGCAGCCGGATGCCGGGGAGGGAGTGACAAGAATTGTTGCTGGTACTGATATTGGGATACTTGATGCAGCACTTGCTGGTAGTGGAACTGAAGTTGTTGAAACTACTACATTTGGGCCTGCATGGCCCGCATGCATTGCATCAGGTCTTCAAGTTGACCTTGGCCGGCCACCGGAGGGAGGATGGTGGGTTTAGCGAAGGTCGTCCCGACTGCAGGGGGCAGCGAAACAGTCACGGGTGCCACCGTTGTAGGCACGCTCAGGCTAGGAACCCCGTCTGTAGAGAGAGGGACGGTGAACTGCCCGATGCAGACGATGGGTAGTTGGAGTTGCTTCTCTAGGGTGTTCCGGCGTCCGGAGTTGCTGGAAGAAGCCATGGATGTCGGTGGTGCTGATGAGTTAAAGAGAGGGAAGTTTCACAGAAGTTAGAGGGAGGGTTTTTGAAGCATTTCCCACAGACGGTGCTAAATGATGCTGCACAATCTAGGCACTCCTAGCTGGCTGAGAGTTGGCTCCTAGCTGTGACGGACGACACCTAAGAGGATGAAGAAAAGTGAAGGGTTCTCGGGGAGCTCTTTCGGCGGGAACACTCCGATGGCTAAGTTAGAACTCTGGAGAAATCTCAAGGAAAACAGAGAGTAAGAGTGTTGAGAGTGCTTTCTTCAATACCTTTTCTTCGTGAGGGTTGGAGTCCTTTTATACCGGAGCTCGGTCACATCAGGCATAACCGCCACTGCCCTAGCCGTTACTGCCGGGGCAGGTGTGGCAGGTGCAGGTGGCTGCTACAGGCCGCTGTTGCAGGGTAGAGACTCGACAATTGTGCCATGCTTTTCAGAGACGGCAAGCAGAATGTTGCCTGGCAAATAGAACGCCGCCTGTCAAGGGATCAGAGCCCCTGCCACCAGATCCGGCAAGTACGGATGTCAGGCAGATCCCCCTGCAGCCTGCTGAGCTGTTGTACGCCGAACCACCTGGGGCAGGTTTGCCTTGCACCGAGGTGCCTGTATTGGAGGCGGGCCTTAAGCAAGTTTGAACAGGAGTCTCGACGGTGCTGCCCCAAGGTGTTTCTCCCTCGGGACACTTAGCCAAAAACCGGGGTGCTCCCTTCTTGGGAAGGGAGAGCTCAGGGCCCCTCAGGAGGAGCTCGGGTCTCAAGGGGAGCTCGAGCCCTGAGAGGAGTTCGGGACCTCCCCTACTTGGTGGGAGTCAAGGTTGGCCGGGCGCTATTCCCTGATGAGTCGCTTAACCCACCGAGTGGCCAATGTTGGACTTGGCGGGTCTCTCCCATCGAGTCACGGTTGTGCTGTTAGGCTGAGCTGTTCATCGAGCCAAGTCATGCACACGTGTCCCTGTGCTATGAGGTCGGGCCAAACCACCCTCCATCAATTTACATGTCGAACCCTGGTTTCTGAAGTCTCCTTTGAGGTGCCTCTAGTATTGGGTAGTAAGGTCCGAGGGCTCACTTTGTGCGTTGTTTATGCCAGATACGACAAGACCTTAAGGATTTGTTAGCCAGACTAATGACCGCTAAGGTTCCAAATCATTGATAGCCCTAATAGAAAATCAAAATGATTCACATTGATGACCCAGAGTCTAACAAGCATTTGTTAGCCTGATTAAACTGTTTGGAAAAACAAAGGAGAGAGGGAATACCTAATGAACGAGCAAGGAGTCTACTACTGGATAGAGAGAGAGAGAGAGAGACGAGATAGATAACCATAGGAGACACTAGGGAGTTCCGTTGGTTGCTGGATTACACTAGAACGATGGAATAATGACCACCATCGCTATTCGCTAGAGAGAGAGATATGAGAGAAAACAACTGGAGAGATACTACAACAAGAGAGAAATACCACCGTTGGAGAGATACCACTGCCAAAAGTACTACCGGAGTTCGAGGAATACCACTGCCGGAGAGAAACCTTCTTCTTCGTTAATTGCCAAAGGGAGCGGTGGAGGCGTGGAGCGCTAGGTCTTCAAAGAAAATTTTGCAAAAAGTTCAAACTTCAAACAAAATGGAACGGACCTTTTGGTTCGGCGGCTTTGTCCAAATTCGGTCCGGACCACTTAAATTTGGACTGGACCGAGTCCATACAATTATTTAGACCATCCGATCCGTCCATAACACCTCCGGATCGGACGGGGTCCAACCCCAAACCGGTCCATTGACACCCTTAAATGCAACCTTAAAGGTAGGGTGTTTTGAGAAAATTACTTTTCAAATGTTTCATTACACCTGTACAAAAATCTGTTTGTAGATTAAAAAAAAAAAATTGCAAGACACTTGAGAAGATATAATTAATTAGATAAATTGACTTTATTATTTATTAAATAGATACATAACATTACTGGAATTAATGTTATTGACATGTTACGGTACTATTACATGTAATTATATTTATAATCCCAATACCGATCGTGGCAATCATCCCAGAGACCTGATTCCTTTCGGTCAATGGTGATTCATCGGTATTGGGTTGAGGTGCAAATGCATCTTCACAATCTTGGGCGTTCTGGATGCTAGAATCCAACGTCTGATATAGTTGAACGTAGTTGCCTTTAATATCAGACAACATGTTGAAAGACGAATTGTAACCAGCAATTGTCTTTTCATAGAGCGAAGAACAAGTATGGAGAAAACTAAGGGTAGCGTTGTCGGTGGTGTTCTTCACAAGCTCTCCAATGTAATCATAGTCGTTGGTAGCATTGGACAATCCCACCTCCATGATTATTCTAGCGAAGCCATTGAGGTCTGATTTCAGTTCGGAATGAGGGTCAGATTCAAGTAAAGAGATGCAGTAATCACGATAATCGAGCTGATTGCACGTCGTCTGGATTAATGATTCCGCTTCATTGCCATTCTCTTCGTCTGCACGGCCAAAGGCAAAGCAAACAGCTGCAGCTGCAAGCGAATAAACGACCAAAAGCCCAACTACTCTTCTTGCCACCATTTTTTTTCTCCTGCAAATTAAACTTAATGGTTGATGCAAAACCCTACAAGGTTGTTAGTGATATTTATAGAACAAACCCCCACCTTTCTCATTTACTCCACTAACCATTCACTATGTCCAAGGTGTCTAGGATTTGTGTAAAGCTAAGAACAATTAATTAAGGCCTTGTTCGGATAAATTTTTATTTTGGTAGTTTTAAAAGTCATAAAGGAGTATATAAAATACTTTTGTTTTTAAGACCGTTGAGTAAAAAGTTTTGAAAAGTAAAAGCGTGCACCATCTTCTGTTTCGTAAAAGAATACTAGCAAACATGTGTTATAATGGTTTTACATGTGACCAGTCATGATTCGCCACTTGTATGCACACTCGACACACACTTTGGCCATGCATAACATGTACAAAATGATGACGTGGCAGTCCCTAAATAATTATATAATTAATCAAAAAATTTAGCAACCATAGGAACATATATAAAATAAAAATCGTTGATCTAAATGGTTTTGGTATATGACACAAAAGACAGAAGTTCAGCAGGTTCTCTATTGGCATAGAGGCTCACTGTTAGGATGCTGATACTTAAGGTTTAAAATATGAATACGTATATGGGCCTGTATTAAAAGCTCGCTCATTTTTTTTTTTAATTGGTTCAGTGGTCATACCCCAGTATATATAATCCTTGTAGGGGTGTATCGTTATACCCTCAATACGATACAATATGCTTATATCAAAATTATGAACCTTGATAATAATTAATACAATCATTACCCCAAATAGCTTTTCCTAATTGGTAAGTATCTTTGTTGCAAATGAATCCCTCTATTTCTCCTCCTCTCATAATTGAATTGCCCTCTTAATTTATAGCATTTCCAATGGACATTTCTTTAATTGCATTTGTTATCTTTCAAATGTAGTTTATTTTGCTAATTCCCTGTCAATATAGTGTTTAAGTTTACCCACCTTTAACATAACAAAGGTCTAATTCATTTTTCTTTTCTTGCCTATACCTATGAAAAACACACACACACAAGATTAATATGCAATCTAGAAGGAAATCAAACATTGTATAAAAGTTTACTCACCTTTAACATAACAAATGTCACGTTGGTCTTTGCTATTAATCGATCCTTTGTTATATGATCACGTAATGACATGTAAAACTTAAAATTTTTGAAAATATCAAAATTATCTTTCAAAAGAAGATATTATTCATTATCTTCTAACTTGAGACTGAACGGGTTGAGCTATTAACTGACCGTAAGCTCTTCCATTTTTCTTCTATATATTCTCAAATATGCCTTAGAGGCGCACTGTTCGTTGTCGATCTTGATAGTTAGAACGGATTTAGGTCCTAGAAAAGTTCGAGGGTTCATGGAACACAGGCAACACCTGCAATCTCATCACCAAGAACTGTAACCATTTCTACAACGGCGCCTGATTCAGACTCATCGAAAAACCAATCCCTCGCTGGGTCAACCGACTTGCCAGGCTCGGTAAGCGGAAAAAAATCAACTTAATTTTTTTTCTTTTTATTATTGTGCAATAAAATTTATTTATTTTTAATTCGTTCTGAAATCTGAACTGGTTTTGAGTTGGTGAACCGAAGGTTTATTCTGTAACTGTGTGTCTGTATTTTATTGGCGGACTTGAATGCGGTCAAAGTCCGAAATCAGAGGTAGTAACAGGGGTTACGAGGCTCAATCACGCTCCAGACATCTGACCCAAGGTCTGGACGGTTATTTCGCTTCATCTCACAGCATCTCAGTGCTACATGAGCCAACTGCTTTGCTCGCCGAAACGGCCACTATGAACTCAGAGAAGTTGCGTGTTGCTTCTCTACTGGTGAGAACTCAGAATTCAAAGAATCACAGCCACTGTAAACTTTTTGTGGCCTGTCTTCTCCTTCTCAGCTCCTCAACTTCTCCGACTGCATTATCACACTCTTTCTCTAACTCACCTCGTTTATTCTCTAAGG